GTGGTGTGGTGGTGTGGGTGGTATGGGGGGTGTGTGGGTGGTGTTGGGGGTGTGTGGGTGGTATGGGGGGGTGTGTGTGGTTGGTGTTAGTGTGGGTGGTGGGGGGTGTGTGGCAGGTTGGTGGGTGTGTGGGTGGTGTGGGTGGTGTTGGGGGTGTGTGTGGGTGGTGTGGGTGGTGTGTGTGGGTGGTGTTGGGGGTGTGTGTGTGGGTGGTGTTGGGGGGTGTGTGTGTGATGTGGGGGGTGTGTGGTGGTGTGGTGGTGGTGGGTGGTGTGGGTGGTGTGTGGGTGGGGTTGGGGGGTGTGTGTGTGTGGTGTTGGGGTGTGTGGGTGGTGTGGGTTGTGTGGGTGGTGTGGGTGGTGTGGGGGTGTGTGTGGGTGGTGTTGGGGGTGTGGGTGGTGTGGGGGTGTGTGGGTGGTGTTGGGGTGTGTGGGTGGTGTTGGGGGTGTGTGGGGTGGTGTGTGGGTGGTGTTGTGGGTGTGGTGGTGTTGTGGGTGTGTGGGTGGTGGGGGGTGTGTGGGTTGTGGGGGGTGTGGGTGGTGTTGGGGTGTGTGGGTGGTGTTGGGGGTGGGTGGTGTTGGGGTGTGTGTGTGTGTGTGTGGTGTGTGTGTGGTGTGTGTGTGTGTGTGGTGTGTGTGTGTGGTGTGTGTGTGTGGTGTGTGTGTGTGGTGTGTGTGTGTGTGTGTGTGTGTGTGTGCGGTGTTGGGGTGTGTGTGTGTGTTTGTGGTGTGTGTGTGTGTGGTGTTGGGGTGTGTGTGTGGGTGCGTGTGTGTGTGCGGTGTTGGGGTGTGTGTGTGTGTGTGTGTGTGTGTGTGTGGTTGGTGTGTGTGGGGTGGTGGGGGGTGTGTGTGATGTTGGGGGGTGTGGGTGGTGTGTGGGTGGTGTGGGTGGTGTTGGAGGTGTGTGTGTGGATGTTGGGTGTGTGGGTGGTGGTGGGTGGTGTAGGTGGTGTGTGGGTGGTGTTGGGGGTGTGGGTGGTGTGTGGGGTGGTGTGTGGGTGGTGGGGTGTGTGGGGGTGTTGGGGTGTGTGTGTGTGTGTGATGTTGGGGTTGTGGGTGGTGGGTGGTGTGTGTGGTGGTGTGGGGTGTATGGGTGGTGGTGGGGGTGTGTGGGTGGTGTTGGGGTGTGTGGGTGGTGGGGTGTGTGCGTGGTGTGTGGGTGGTGTGGGGTGGTGTGTGGGTGGTGTTGGGGGGTGTGTGGGTGGTGTTGGGGTCTTGTGGGTGGTGTTGGGGTCTTGTGGTGGTGTTGGGGTCTTGGTGGGTGGTGGGTTGGGTGTGTGGGTGGTGTTGAGGGTGTGTGGGTGGTGTTGGGGTGTGGGTGGTGTTGGGGGTGTGTGGGTGGTGTTGGGGGTGTGTTGGGGGTGTTGGGGGTGTGTGGGTGGTGTGTGGGTGGTGTTGGGGTTGTGTGGGTGGTGTTGCGGGTGTGTGGGTGGTGTTGGGGTGTCGTGGGAGGTTAAAAGTTCGGACAATCGGCAAGACATTCGAGGGTTTTCTGTATGTTGAGCTGGAGTTGGGTGATCGGGATATTTACACTGTAGCGTCCATTAACCTAACCTAAACTGCGTTAGTTTAGGTTAATGGACGCTACAGTGTAAACATCAGGGTAGATCAACTCCAGCTTGGTAGACTGCATACTATAGTGTAAATATCTCGGTAGACCACATACTGTAACACCGTATGTATTAGCCCCGTCAAACAGTAATACTTACATATTGAAGTGATAACCGTGGTAACATTATGAGATGTTCTTATTACCACCACGCTATTGTACTATTCCAGATGATACTAAATGTTACATAATACTTCCTTGAGATAAATATATAGTATGTATCAGGTGCCTCAAAGAGAGCCCAGGTTCTCAACTGGCTCAGCCATGTTAATATTGTTATTATTATCCACTCTGTATCTGTGTTTTTCTGGCTAAATAAACTGTTTCAATATCAATGAACTGTTTCAATACATAAATGTGGGCTATATAAATTATATTTATATAATTACATCTCATAAGGTAATTAAACTATGATCAAATGTTTAGTAAATAGTTTTTGATACTGAAGCAAGTGATGGATGTCACGTAACCTTATTATCTTTCAAATGACCTCTGCGCTCTATTGTTGAAGCCAGGTCATCAGTTACTCCTCTTTCGAGTTCAGTCATACCCGGTCTCTCGTACACACCATAAAACTCATTACAACTTGTTTAAATTCTTCCAACACTCACAACTCATATTGTTAGTTATGGTGATATAAGTTAAATGTGCATAGATAATTTTCTTAATAAAAGAAGAAAAACATTTGGGTGTGTAAATTTAAACCAAAAATATTTATTGTTGTAACTTCTAAGTTACCCACAGTATTGAAACTTCAGCGGGGTGGACATCGAGTACCGAGTGAGGGGTCTTTTCAACATAAGACGACTCCAGGCAAGAACAAAGGTGTGGGCACCTTCCATTACTGAACTTCAGCATGCAGACGACCTCACCCTTGTCGCTCACACTGAACGCGACCTACAGGAGATCCTGAACACCTACGCAGACGCTTATGCACACTTCGGCCTTGAGGTGAATGTACGCAAGACTCAGATTCTCCTTCAGCCTGCCCCTGGTTTAGCCACACCTCCACCATCCATCCAGCTTAATGGTACTACCCTCTCCACCACCGCAGACATCGATGAGATTCAGCACCGAATCAGATGTACATCTCAAGCCTTGGACAGACTCCGAAGCTGTGTCTTCAATTGTAGGGAGCTGAAATTATCTAATAAGTTGCATGTATATCGGGCAGTGGTTCTCCCCACCCTGCTCCATGGCAGCGAGACATGGGTTACGTACAGGAGGCACCTCAAGGCACTTGAAAACTTTCACCAATATAGTCTACGTTCCATCCTCCGAGTTCGCTGGGAAGACAAGAGAACAAATGCCAGTATTCTTGCTGACACCAAGTGTAAAAGCATGGAGCATCCAAGAACAACTACGCTTGACTGACCATGTTACCCGCATTGACGACAGTAGACTGCCAAAGCAGCTACTTAGTCACCTAACGAATAGTAAACGCAACGCTGGTGGGCAACTGAAAAGGTATACGGATTGTCTTAAAACAAATCTGAATAAGTGCTAAATCGACCCCTTCACCTGGGAGACGATTACACCACACCGTATTGCTTGGAGAGGCACCACACAAGAAGATGTCAATACTTTCGAGTTAGCTCAACTGCATAACGAGGCAGAAAAGCGCCAACGCCGGAAAGACGCTGCCGCCACCCCTCCAGCACTAGATGGAGCCATCCACTTGTGCAACATCTGTGATCGACCCTGCCGGTCCCGTATCGGCATCTTTAGTCACCTTATAACTCTCCAACCTACAGTAGGTGACATCATTAATAACTTATATCATTGCATCATAGCTGGATGATCGTCATACTCGATTCCGAGTGACAGCAAAGTAGGAGCAGTAGTATGTGTGTGTGTGTGTGTGTGTGTGTAGAGAGAGAGAAACTTGCTAGGCTAAACATTAATCTTTTAGGAGCTGCATCGCTCGTCCTCTGGTCGACTTTACTGTTGATGGGACAAGTGGGTGATGATTTTGACTCAGAACTTATGACATCGTAGGTATCTAACTCCAGAAGGAGAGTCGAGAATTATTGTGGCTATCAATAAAATATGATGTATATTATAGGAGGAAATTGGAGTACCCAGGAAAACCCTGCAGTGTTTGGTAGTCACACTGGATAAACACCCTTCTCGCATATGCTTTGGAATTTAACCTAGTACACAGTACCGAGAGACATGAAAATATGTATAAAATTAATTGTCTTAAACCAATTTGTACATGACGTCTTCCCACGTCCTCAAGACTTGGGCTATAAGCCAGTCGTAAAACCTGGTTAATGGTAAGTACAGTACTGTACATGTACAGTATGTGACCATTCATGAGTTAACCCAGGGTGTCGACTACTGTAGGTTCCCATGACAAGCTGGGTGGTTTTATGGCTATACTACTGATACTAGTCCAACTCCCATAATACAGTATTCAGATTACCTCCTCTTTGAAGCTTTGAACCCATAGACCACACAGTTGTCGACACAGTGTTGCTAGTATTAGGTTCCAAACTTACAATGCATCTAAAAACCAATGTTGAAGAATACTTGCCTTCATCATAATTAGAAATAAAAATATTCTATAATACTGTAATGACACGAAATATTTGTACAGTACATAATAGGTATAATTAACAAGTAGGAAAGGTTCAGTCACAGGACAGGGAAATATTACCGGTGAACAGAAAGAAAATCACGGGAAAAATCACAATTTTGGCTATGAAAAAATTCACACTTTATTAATATACCATTAACAAGTTAAGTTTAGTTTAGTTGGGTTTTGAATGTTTTCTTTGGTCATTAAAAAACTAAACTATCTAGAAGTACAAACAAAATTAAATGTTCAAAAATGAAAACCTAATCAAACTGTGACTTATTTTTTCTTGAGACTTTCCTGTGCCTTTCTTTCGTACGTTCTAGATTACCAACAAGAACCTCCACAAGCAAAAGACCCACAAAGATCAAAACAAAAACAGAACCAGAAACTTAACAAAAGACTGACCTGAGCTTTGTGGATCAATTATGTTGTTGTGCAACTTATTGAGGGCTGGCTGTAGGCACTCCACCAGGCTGCTGACTACAATCTGGTAAATGTATGTCAGAGCACGAATATTCATCTCTCTGAAAAGATATAAAAACATGTAATGATCGTGTAAGTGATGATGGCTTTTTGATTGACCAACCAACTCGTACACCACGAAAACCAGAAACCTAAAAGAGAAGTACGTACAATGATGGACAGAAGTAATGTCTTAAATAAAAGAAGTCACTTTACTAGCTGCCACCACATACTCATGTAAACCATAATAAGACAGCCCTACACATACACGGATTTATGTAAACTTGTAGAAAAATGCTATGGAAAAAATCCTGACATGCCTCCGACCTGAGATTCACGAACCTGTGACTCCGAGACCTCATATGATTATTGGGCACATTTATAGTGCACTGGGTTATGTGATGTCTCAGGTCCACAAGTTCATGAGTCTCAGGGTTCATGAACTATTTTTTCCATGACTATACAATCACCTACACTTAAGTTATACCTGGTACAGTATTACATCTACAAGTACCGTACTTAAAATACCTGGACACTATACCTAAATTATACAGTAAGTTAAAGCTTAGGAATTAAACTATTCATCTGCAGTTTATATTCTGATCGTCTACTCCAGATGATCATCCCTACACAGTATACTTACTGTACCAATCTGAATTTTAAAAAATATAGGATACAATATATAAATTTAGAAATTAATACCATTTTGCAAAAAATATATATAACTAATTAGCATGACACATATACACATACCAGTATATGCAATGACTTACTTCATGAAAATGGCGTCAAAATATTGAGAGTGATCTTCCAAAACGACAAGAACTTCCTCAGTGATTGAGAGAACTGCAGCAAGTTGGTCATCAATACTGGTGGCCTTCAGAATGGTCTCCTGTGATAGTTTCCACCACCTGGTTATCAAAAACTAAATTGTTCAGACAATCTTAAACATAGATAATGCAGTATGAGCACAATTTAAGGCTGAAATTATCATTGTCTTACTCAGATGATCAATTTAGACTTTTAAATTCTCCATTTTTGACATAAGCATTATAGAACACTTCTGATTAGCACATGAGAAGCCATAATTAATAATTATAATACTCACCCTGTAACACCAAAAGAAAAATTATTCGTTTTGTTCTATCAAATGTTAAGAAAGAATATTATACATTACTGTTTATTTCAACTGCTACCAGGTACTTTATTGTATAATACTGTAAGTATAATTTTGTGTTTAATTCAATTTACAGTACAATAATTTATTGTTTACATTATAGTGTCTCTCTATGTTCTTTTACTTAGTCTTTGATATCTCTATAAAGTCAGTGTGTACAATGAAGGTTGGATGTATGCAAAGGGAGAATAAACAGACTGCCCGACCTGCTAGTAAGCTGACAAGTGGTGACAATTATGATTTATGGACATTTAAAAATAATAAAGTGGAAAGAAAATCCTGATAAACTTAAATTTTGGAATACACTAATTGAGAAACAAAACTTTACATTAGTGAGTGTTGTATTTATATTGAAAATTAAAACCAAGTACACTCACTCACGTCTTTTTTTTTTTTTTACGAAAACGTGTAACCTACAAAATAATAAACTTTTGAAATATTTTGTTCTATATCATGAGAGTAAGGATTGATGTACCCTTCCTGCTAGTTCGGGGAGCCAGTAACCCCATATTCTTGTACCTCGTTATCTAAAAACCAAAAGCAAGTAAAAATAGGTCTGAATGTGTGTGGATGTAATCTGGGATAATAAGAGAATAACTAAAAACCTGATAAGGAAGAAGCTGTATGTCCTTGCTTTGTGTGTAATAAACCTACGGGGAAAATGAGAAGTGAGATGAGGAGAAGTAAAAAGAGTTAAGTCAGGCATGTAGAAGAGACTAAGCGCTAACGAAGGTGATGTTGAGTGTTGAAATGTGGAGTTGTGTGGCATTGGGGTAACTTGTAGGTGCGAGGGAAAACAGAGGTGTGCGAGAAGGCAGAGGTGTGCGAGAAGGCAGAGGTACGGGAAATTGAACCATAAGAGGGAAAACTAGGCGAGTTTCTGCATCTATTAGTGAAAACCACACGATTCTATTTGTGTTAGTTTAAGTAATATATCGTTTTGTTATTGGTAGGAATTCTAGTGGACACCCTGAATAATAGGGATCACTTCAAGAAGACAGTTTTATACATCAGATTTTAAGCAAGAAGTAATCTACCAATTTTTTGCATATAGCTCAATTGCTCCAATAACTTGGTGGGTGACAGATGGCCGCTTAGCCTCTCCCAGTAGTTGTCTGGTCCTCGGGTGAGTCTGCAGACTTTGAAGAGCACTGTAGAAGAGAGTAACAAATTACAAACCTGAAATATATTATTATACCACAATTTTAAGTTGTTAAGTCTTTGTTATGCTGAACAGGTAACAAGTGGTACCTACTTCAACATGGATGACAGCTGAAGTTTGGAGTAACCTGATGACATTGGAAAAAGAGTGTCCAAATTTTTTATCCGCTCGGTACATTTATCTTGAAATTGACACAGCGATGACGTAAACTCTAGCAGTTCTTCACTGGAATACAAGTTCATAACAAGTGAACTCTGGACAGATTTGAGCTGTGACAGTGCCCAAGTATCATCCACACCAGTTTCTTGAGAAGCTATCCTCCACCAGATGAGTTGCTGGGTTGCTATACTCAGGCTTAGCAAGAGGGCGTGTTGAGCCGTCACTGCAGCAACGCCTTCTGGTAATCTTCCAGTCCATGGCTCCTACAGGAAGCAAATATCTACTGTATAATTACCAGTAAGTCTTACTAATAAAATGCATGACTTTGCATTAATTATCTAAAATTTCTGACTTAATAACACTCTTACTGCTATAAAAGCCATTCCCTTTAGTTCTCTGGTGACATTGTCTTAAAGTACTAAAAAATATGCATGCCGAACTGTACACAGTGGTTCCGGTTAATTAACACGAGCAGTAATTTCATTCACATTAAAGCACAATTACCATCGTTATCCAGAAATAAAAGAAATTTAATGGTGGACAACGCGGATACGACATAGTTGGTGCCAACCAGTGAGCAACAAAATAAAGTAAACAATTCTTAAAGCAAAACTTTTTCTCATCGGATCATCAATTCCAATATTTCAAAACACTTTTTAACAAATTATAACTCTCCTTGAGTCTGAACACCTGCATCCTGGACTGCAGTTGTTCAGACTTATGGTGTCTGTTTGAGCTGTGACTGGCGTGCTCCAGTGAACATTTATTTTTTTTCTCCGCCACGGGACATTGTCTACCTGCCCTGTGAGCATTTGCACGCAAGCTGTGGATGTCAAATAACGGTACAAAACTTTCATAAGTAATGTCTGCTACACTTTCTGGCACCCCTGTTGTGAAGTGTTCTCACATAATAATGAAGTTAGTGTAAAATAAGACACATGGGCGTGGCGAGAGCCTGACTGAGCTCGGTTGCACACTTCACCTCGCCACCTGAACTGTGTATACCGGTATCTTTTATTTATCACTGTACAATACATATTTAATATGATTAGAATGTGTTACAGTTTGATGTGATTAGTATGGGTTTCTGCACTTTTTATTTCATTATTCATATAATCGTTATGCAAATGGACTTTTAGGAACAGAACCCATACAAATAATGAGGACCTACTGTACTCATCTCTGGCTAAATCAAAAAGTAACTTCTGGCAAACTTCCTTTTCTGTTTCTTTAAATGTACCAATTCTGTACCATGCAGAAATCTTGTAACTAAGTACATTAATGCTCTAATTCATTTTAATTATTTTATATATTCTAGACTATAGCAGTAACTTCGTTGAACAATGTAATACAGGTAGTCTTCCTAAACCTTTATGATATACGAAACTGTTTTCCCCTTACATTAACAAAGCCAGGGACCATATGATAGACTCTTACCTTACTAATGCCGGTGTGAAGGACGTGGTCCATGACGTGTTTCACAAGAGCTCCATGGGACTGTTTATTCTTTATATCTGTTATCGTCGATATACAGCCAGATATATATACTTTACTGGAGTCATATTCCTGATCTGCCTCATCAACTCTGTCATCGACTTCATACCAACCATCAAGATATGATAGGCCAATTTCCTGTTAAAGAATAAAAAATAATAACATGTATGAAAGGGAAGTCAGTAAACCCCAGGGTACTTCACGATGATATAATAAATGGGCACAAAACCACAAAGAAAGTAAAATACAGCACAATAATTTATTGATTATAGTCAAGCATGAATATATATTGGATTAATATATAAAACTATCCAAGAAATTTTCACCCAAACATAAGTAATGGAATCCATTCACATGCTAGATGCCACACCATTAGAGAACAAACCATTATTAATGTTAGTTACATTAGATAAAACTATACAAATGCAAAGTGGATAAGGTAACTAGACTTTAAGATATAATAAGCAACAGAACATTGTACATTCAGTGCAATGTGTTATAATGTATTACACAGATTATATAACAAAGACATTGTGTTACACATACTAAGGACACTATAATTATAATATACCTAACGAGTTAAAGTGAGGTGAACACTGAACAAATTATTGTTTATAAATTCAAAGGAATATTGTTTATAAATTCAAAGGCATACAATGTTTATATAAACTCAATATACCTTGACTGGGAGCCGGAGGGAACCCAGTAAGAGTGGTGAGCTGGAGGAGCTGTGGGCAAATTTGCGATATATTCGTTGTGCACGGCGATCATCCCTTTCCGCTTCCAGCCTGCAAGTTTTAAGAGATCACAGTTTTGACAGAGTAGGTATGTAAAATCTTCATATACATAAAAATATAAGGGGTGGATCTTTTTATACCAGGAATGTAATTCTTACGTAAAGCCCAGTTTTTTCTCCGGTGATATTCTTTTTGAGCACACCAGTCCTAACCACACAAGAAACAACAACATTTCGTAACACTCTCTCGCGTGCCCATGATTAGGCCTTTGATTACACATATATGCCATTGAAATTCAGTATATTTCATCAATTTAAGTACCACAGCCGTATTCTCATAGGACTCGTTTAGGTGAACTGAGTGAGCCATTGGTAGGTTAGGTTATTGATTTACATTTTAAGAATAACACATTTTAGACGGTTGTTTGAGCTGTCAATAAAAAAGACAGTACTCCGATGGATTAGCTATATGACCTGATGCATCTAAAAGACCATTAAACCACTGCAGTAATACAGTAAACGTCTCCACACTGAAGAACTTAATGAAACTTCTTTGTTTTCTGAGGAGAGAAGCATGAGCATCTTTGTACATGCAGGAGGTTCCACTGCTGTAATTTTGAGCTTCACAATTTTGTCTTTTGCTTCGAGAGCTCAAGATCCTTGAGCAAGTCAATCAGCTTCATAACTATGTTAAACGGAATAACTAAGGGTGGATTTGTAATGAGAACGCTTCAATTAGTAAGAAACATTCAAGAACCAAAAACCTTGTTGACTAGTTTAATTGTATATCTGACCAAAGGAACTTATGAGCCATAATAGACAATGCAACGGCGCTCAACTCTGGTAACCTCCTTGTTATGGGGGACTTCAACTTTGGCGACATCCACTGGAGGAATGAAATTACATCAAATTACCTTAATTAACCTGTAACTCTACATGTAGATTTTCAGAGACAAAGTTTCTTATTCCAACATGCGAAAGATCCGAACAAACACCCAAACCACTGGAATTCATCAAAACTAACGAGGATGGTATGGTGGCCAAGTTGGAACAATTAGACCACGTTGGCACTAGCAATTATGTTTTTGTTTTGCGGGGAACAGCCCACCCGGGCACAGGTCATCGACCCACAACGGGGCCTGGGGGGCAAAATAAGCGTAAAATGAATTTAAAAATAAAAATAAAAGAGAAAAAGACAATTAATCTACACTACGAAGATGCCGGAAAATTGGCCTTTTGAAGAGAGACAGGTTGTATGAGTATGGAAACAGAAGAAGGCAGAGCATTCCACAGAAGGGTGTACTATAACGGGTTATTCTAGTGTGACCAGAATCCACAGAGAAACGGTGGGCACCGCGGGCAAGACGAGTGTTACGAGCACACGGCCTTGTCGGCAGTACACAGGATGCCAAATCCACCGAACATTACCCATTAAAGTATCTGTAAACGAGAGAGAGTGAAGCAACATTGCGGCGAAGAGAAAGGGAAGAAAGATTGTCAACCAAAGGAGGAGAGTTAGTAAGACGAAATGCCTTTGATTATATCCTGTATAACAGTTGGACAGAAGAAGAGCCACCCCAGATATGATAAGAGTACTCCAAGTTAGGACGAATGATGTTGTCCTTCACATTTATCGGTTTGTTGTGTTACGTACTTATGTTCCTAAGCTGGACACCTTACCAGGAACCGGGCTGTAACCGACCCCCACAGACTCGAACGTTTTGTTTACTTACATTTCACCTCATGTTCAGCCTATTGCTGCAGCACTATTCAGTCTTACTCAGGTATGCTACATCACTATAGGAGAGGAGTAGCAAACGCAATGTTGGAATGCACAATATATTGAAAAGAAACACCAACAACCAGCAATAATCAAACATTAACAATCGCCAAACTCATACAACGTTTACATAAATAAAAAACAATACTCTAACAATCACCCTATTCCTACCACATAGAACTATACATAAACATTACAAACTTACATTACATTCTAAGCCAAAGTAACACAATTTGCTATCAACTACAACCGGCTCCGCCGACCACCGACCACCAGTTCCACACCCTCGTCTGTCCTGGAATGCTCTGCCCTCCTCCCTGGTGCACCGCTTCATTACAACTCCGTTCGAGATCTGAACAACACAGATACGGAGCTCCGGAGAGCCTAACCATGAGCCCAAGCTATGGACCATCCAATGTATCCATGACTCGAGGTCCGGAACATCAAGTCGGGAGATCGAGTAACGGGGGTGGAGCAGTGGTCGTGCAGCAGCCAAACACGGGTCGTTGGTCAGGTACCAGTTGGGTCCTCAAGCTGTTCTATATCAAGCTTCGTAATACTTGGTACATAATGATTAATGAGAGCAGATCAACGTTCAAATATTGCACTGGTAATGGACGAGTTGACGGTCGGAATTTTTTCGTAAAGTGGCAGGTCAATGGGTAAAGAAACGCTTAAATTCACCATGGTAATGATATTTTTAAATAAATTTGGCCAAAAAGTGTCAAAAATAAGGGTTAAAGTTGCTAAAAAGTCACATGACTGCGAAAAGCTCTGTGATTGGTTGTGACGTCACTGGTTGGGACGAGCTTCCCAGCGGGAAATAGCCAGCTGTAGTTGTTCAACCTTCTCGGATGATTGGCTCTGTAAATAAATATTATTAGATAATTAATTGTGCTTTACTGTGCAACACAGTAATACTATTTGGAATATATAAATAATGCTAAGCACGTAAACTAACTGAATGGATATTAGCTGCCCACACAATAAATTTCATGGTATAAACATTCCAAACAATATTGGTATTATTTTGGTTTTGGTAATCTGGGGAGCCTTAAGATTCTAACTATGGGATTGAATACTTTAAACAATAAGACACAATATCTCTACAGGATTTCTGTCGTAAAACATTTTTCCATCTCATAAGAAAATATAGATCATAGGTTAGGTTAGGTTAGGGCATGAGTTATAGCACATTGCAAACCATCAGAAAAAAAAACATGTTCTGTATGTTTAAGTACAGGGATGACCAAAACTTAAAATTTACCCAATATAGACTATCTTGAATCTCAACATCCAAATATTTATGGTAGGTAAAGTAAAATTTTACCCATTAATTAATATAAACGATGATATATCCCAGTGGTTCATTAGTGAATCATCATAACAATGACAGATTTGTTATCATGTTTACCTAGCATCAGGCATTCTCAAAACAAAGTCCAGACAATGTTATTACTGGGGGTGCTGGTGGTACCGCTCTTGCCTTCGCAAGCGAGATGTCACGGGTTTGATTCCCGGGCCGGTGGAAGTTGTTTGGCATACTTCCTAGCCCCCATTAGTCCCTGTTCACCTAGCAGTTAAGTAGGTACCTGGTGTAAATCGAAAGTTGCGAATTATATTCAGGGACAAGTTGTTGGAGCTTCCAATAACTTGATAACATAGAACCATTGACTCTTCAGGCTTCTACGCCCTTAACTCATGAGACAAAGGCAAGCATGAACTTAGCATGCTTCCCTGTTGGGCACTGTAAACGCTTCTGCGCTTTACCTTACGCAAGGATGTAGGGGGGTGCCCAATAAAAAAAAAATGTCATTACTTCTAAATTTACTCGTATCTCCATCTAGTACTGATATACTTTGTAAATGAACTGAAAAAAAAGAAGAGAGAGTCTACCAGGTAAGAGTACAAGACAGTTGAGCTGGTGTGAATATGGGAGTTTTTATGTCCAAAAGAACATAAGAATGGAGGAAACTGCAGCGGGCCCATTGACCCATACTGGGTAGTCCCATTTACACCCAACCCCTATTGCTAATATATCCATCCAACCCATGTTTGAAGCTGCTCTTCACGACACATTTCTTCACTTACCAAATGTCCATGACTTAGACCATAAAAAAACACCCTTAAAACTTATCTGAACGTGGCATTTGGGGTCTGAAGAGGCCATCCTTTCTACTACCTCCGACTGCAGCAATGAGTTTGAAACTAGTGACTTCATTGGAAATGGCGGCCCTGTTTCTAGAGAAATAAACTTATCTCGTCTATTATAGCAGGACTTTAAACATTTATTACAAATTATATATACCGTATCACTCTACGAACGTGGCAGAGTGTATTTTTGTGTTTACCCATAACCGTTAACTCGTCCATTACAACAGGATGAGTTAGGAAAAGAGATATTCACAACTCTTTGAGAAATACGAATGCAGATACTACTCTGAATATCACATATTAAAGAGAACTATTTGATTGATGAATATACTGTATACCCAAGACCAAACCCACTGGCTCTAGCACTACTTAGGGACCCGTTACCCATGATCCATTCAGTGGTTCACAAAATCAAGTAAAAATCTCAGAATTTCAAGAGATGGATCAAGACAAATGATGAGCAGGACAGAAGGGTGTATGCCAGGAAAAAAAAATAAGCCAAGTCATGCTGTGGAAGGGCTTAATGGAGTTCTAGAGGTGGATTGCAAACAAGGCCAAGTCAAATCCGAGGACAGGGTGGGGGAACTCTTGAGGTCGGGGGCCATGAGGGCTCTCCACAGGCCACCTATTATTATCAACTAATAATAATCTCTTCAGATTTAATAGGTATGGCCACTACCCTGGAACAACACCCAAGTCAAAGGAGTGGCTGTTATGAGTCAATGATAAGATATACAATATAATGCACCTTGGTCGTACCAATAATAAGGAGGCGTATCCCATGTCCCAATGTGATGAAGAAACATCATTAACTCAGACCAAATGTGAAAAGGACCTGGTTATTTGTAAGAAATTAATTCACATAAATAACCTACTAGAATTTTATGAAGAACGCCCTCATAAAAAGATTGCCTGTTCATTATGATGCTCTTCTAAAGTGAGGTGCTCCCCCCACTTGGAACAGTGTCATTCCATATGGTCCCAGAGATATGCTCAAGACTGTCAGCTAATTGAGAATGGCCAAAGGAGGACCACTAGGCTGGTGCCTGCACTACAGCACTTTGTTTCTCAGAGAGATAGAATGTCTGCAGTGAACTAACTTATACAGCACTGTACTATAGAAGAGAAAAAGGTGATTTAATTGAAGTTTATAAGCACCTTAGAGGACATTATTCAGTCAAATGCTCATACCAGGAGCTGGAGGATGCCCACTCCACTAGAGGTCACAGCCTCCAGTTAATTAAAGAAGCCACAAGTACAGAAAATTATAGAATTAACCTTTTTGCGGGAAGAGCTGTGACATCTTGGAACAGACTGCCAGAGATGGCACCAAGTGTGAGCTCATTTAAGACTGGATTTGACCAATAGAGGTTCATATATATCTGAAGCCAATGCATGCCCAGATGTCACATCAGTGTGTAACAGAGACAAGAACGATCGATCAGTGGTGAAAAGGATAGGGTAAAGTTTTATGAAAATAACGCACAGTGACTAAAAACATTCACACAAAAGCCTATGGGTCCCCAACCTATACTAAATCCTAGACCTTTACAGCAGGCACTTATCAGTTAGTTCAACCCTCCCATAACATTTCTTACCCTATATAAAGGGTGCAAGAAACATAAGTTACCACTGAAGGATGAGGGAAGACAAGTTTTTGTGCCATAGTGGCCTCAGCAACCTCTCATCTTTCTGTTTGTTGGCGGCCATATTAAATTTTTGGACATTTGTTAGTACAACCTGGAACGTAATATACATTAGCATGATATTTCCATTACAGTACATATTTACAGTTAAATGCGCTGCCCCCAGTAAATGTAACCAATAATGAAATAATGCTGTAATCTCATTTATTCCTCCACTGCATCAAATTTCGCAACTATTTGAAAGAGTTTTGAGAATACTAGAAATTATTACATAAAAATTATGCTCACCATAATTCAAGTAGTAGTTGATCACTCTGAAGGTCACTCAGAAGCCTAGAAATATATAAAATATATCATGAATGAGATGAATATATATTCATAATAAACTGACAACCTAATAATATCTAAAACTATACATCGTCTTTTCCTCTTTTCTGTTATCCTATTCGCCACTGATCGGCTAGTTAGTCGTTTGGGCGGTCGGTCACTTCCCTGTTACCACTGTTGTCAAGCACGGGGCATATACCGGTGTAGCAGCCCACATTAACCCCCCGCCAAACTATACCCGGGGTTACAGTGGGCTATAAAATAGCCCAGGCTATATTATACCCCCAGGGTATAATTTGGGCTAGCTTAGACTATACCTCTCTAGTCCCGGCTCCTGAATGTATCTGAACCTGCTCCAGTGTTGGTCAAGTCGGGCCTTGAAAGAGACTCACACTCGGTGACGTCACAACACTCTCTGGCAGGTTGTTCCAAGAGTTCACAACTCTCACTCTGAAAGGGTTTGCTCCTACAGTTTTCTGGACTTGCGGCTTCTTCAACCTTGAGCTCTGACCCCTTGTGAAGTGAGCGTCCGCCAGCCCAAGGTATAGACACTCGACTAAGTAGTACCCTCTGAGAAGTTTATACTTCTCAACTAGGTAAACATTTGCCCGTCTGTAGTATAAGCTAGGCAGTTGTAAGCGCTCTAGTCTCTTTGGATAACTGAGGTGTGGAAGTGCAAGTACCAATCTGGTGGCCCTCCTTTGGACATTTTTAATCAACTGACAGTCCCTATCATATCTAGGGGACCAGACAGGGTGACAGTACTCCAGGTGGGGAAGCACTTCACTCTTGAAGATCGTTACGAGGGACGGACCGTCTAGATATCTGAACGGCCTTCTTATAAGACCTACTAGTTTAGTTTTTGGATTAACCTTCTTCTCACAATAGCCCGAGAACTTCAATTTATTGTCAACATACACACCAAGGTTCTTTTGGCATTCGGCATCTATTAAAGCTGTTTTTTCATCCCGTTGGGAAATGTGATACGTCTCCTTACCGTTGGTGTGACCCAGGTCCATCCTCTTACACTTCGTAACATTGAATCATAGCAGCCATTTCTTTGGCCACTCTTGAAGCTCACGTGATCTTTCTGCAGCTCTTCACAGTCTGTTTGGTTCTTAATTTCCCTGAATAACTTGGCATAATTCGCAAACATTTGTATGGAGGAGTGTACAGCGTCAGGCATGTCATTTATGAAATGAATATGCAACAACAGTCTCAATACACTGTCCTGTGGTACCTCGCTTGTTATAGGTACACATGACAATTTCGTGCCATTAATCATCACACATTGCTTGCGATCATGCAGAAAGTTTCCGTCCCACGTTAGGACACTTCTCAGAATCCCGTATACCCTCCCAGTTTAATGCTCAGCCTTTCATGGAGTACGCTGTCGAAAGCCGTGGCAAAATCTAGGTATACTGTATATTGTCGATAGTGCCGCCCTGTTCCAGAATTTGGGTCCAAACATCTAGTACCTTAAGTAATTGTGTTAAGCAGGAGCGCCCCGGCATAAAACTGTGTTGGCAATCCTTTACAAGGTTGTTTCGTATTAGATGTTCCATCATGGCATCTCTTATAATGCTGCCAAACACTTTACATACTATGCTGGTCAGGCTCACCGGTCTATAGTTGTTCGAGGAGTGTAATGGCCCATTTCATCAACAGAAGTATTATATAAATGGGTTCTTTACATTTGATTTATATTCAAATTCATCCCCTGTAACTTTCCACTAACTATGAGGAGGTCATGATCAGAACATGTGATGGAAGATTCCTTGGCTCATTTGACTGTAGGCCCATTACTCAGTCTCGCTCACAACTTAATATCGAATGGACGTTGATTCACGTCTATTTACACAGACGCCGTCCCTCTCGCCCCACACTCATAAATAGTGGAACTTATGGTTGATCTACACTCAGGAATTATATACATAATACTTTTTAACAAAACAAGAAACTTCAATTGGGTTTCGTTACTAAAACCCAATATAATATATGTGAACCAACCTGGTTAACTTGGAATTAACCAACCGGATCAGGAGTAACGATCGCCCTTCTTGAAGATAAGACTCACATAAGCCACTTTCCATTCACTGGGGACCTTTTGCTCTTCCAGGCATTTACAGAACAGGATCTTCAGCGGCTCAGCAAGCTTGTTGCACAACTCTCTTATCTCTCTGGGATGCACCAGTCAGGGCCGTCACTCTTATGAAGCTTTAGCTTTGCCAATTTATTTCTCATACCACTCAAACGCAGGAAGATTGTTCGCAACCTCTCTTGTGAACACTGATGAAACGAATTTGCTCAACGCCTCCGCCTTGTTCTGGTCAGGATCTGTGTAACTACCATCTTCAAGCCTCAGGTCCGATACGCCTACTCAGGTTTTAATTTCTACTTTGCATAGCGGTAAAACTCCTTTGGTTTGAATTGATCTCACTTGTAATCCATCTCTGGAACTCGTTTTCAGCCCTTCTACACTTTGACTTTGCTTGGCTCCTGGATCTGGCATACATCCTCCTGCCCTGACCATCATTTGTCCAAAGCCAAGTCTCGAAATCCTGACTTTCCTTCTTAACTTTGTCGACTGCCGCTTGGTTCACGTGTAGCGGTCTCCTTCTATTCCTGGAGACACTGGGTTTGGTCTTGGGTATATATTTATCGTTCAAATAGCTCACTTTACTGGCTATGATATTCAGCGTAATGTCTGTGTTCTTATACCTCAATGAGTCAGGCCAGTGGATACCCCTCATCCCACCATAATTACCCATGTAATATTTGAACCTTGGCCTGGTTTTGTTATGAACTAGGTAACAGTCAAATCTGAATGACAACACTACATGGTGACTGGTGCCAACGGGCGCTAGGTGTTCCAGTTTGACCACCATACCCTCCTCGCTAGTGTTGATGAGGTTCAGTGATTCGGGTGTTTCCTCCCCTCTGTAGTGAGTTGGATCTTTCACATGTTGGAACAGAAAACTGTCTCTCAGATTTTCTACAAAAAGAGTAGCCGGATTATTTAGGTCTTTGGCGTGGTTTCGTTTCTCCGATAGATGTCACCATAGTTAAAGTCCCCCATGACAAGGAGGTAGCCAGGGTTGAGCGCCGTTGCATTGTCAATTACTGTTCTTAAGTTCCTTTGGAGTAATAAGCTACAGTTTGGGGACAGTAAGTAAGTCTCTCCCCTTTAGTTTAATTTTCACCACTTTGATTCTTCAAAAACATCCTCCCTGTACCCTCACCTGGCTGGCTCTAAGGTCTTGCCTAGCATAGATAACAATACCTCTCTTGTAAGTCATATCCATCTAAATTGAACTCGCATTCATCCGGGTTGATTCTCATGTTCTTGTACAACAGTTCTACAACACCTACTATATCGAGTTGATGTTCCTTCAGTGGTGTTTCAAACTCCCTGCTCTTATCAAGGAACGTGTCAATATCAGTGTACGTGACTTTCAAGGCGGATTTTGTTCTCGGTAATATCTCTAATCTTGGTAGTGACTCCGGCTTCCCCCCATTCTCAGCAGCTGCCTCGTTTACTAAATACACTATATTATGTGGGGTGTGGTCATGCCTAATCATAAGGAATATGATTTGAGGAATGTACTTCAAAAATAACATCATAATGTAACTTTTACACTACACATAATGAAATTCTACGCACTTTGAATAGTGAGTTTATTAAATACAGATAAAGTGTCCGTAGAAACTTTAAATTTTAACAAACTAACATAGATTAACTTTGATCCATACACTTAATGTGATAGGTAGTGACATTTACTCATTGTACAATCAGAAATATTTAACACCACTGCCTATAATGTACACTGGCCAAGAACCACAGAGATTTATAAGGCTTATATATAATATATTAAAATTACTGGATTGAAAGGTAATTACTTACAGGTCAAATTTGTCCATCCACTTGGGGTAAAGTGTTCCCTTTATAGTGCGAGTTGTGTGAACAGCGCCAGTAGGTGACGTAACTGTTACATATGTGTTTGTTGACCCTGATAAAAAAAGAAGATGAGGGAATTCTTGAATGTTTAGTGATCACGATAACTGTAAATAACACATGTTAACAACTTAACAAAGGATAACATATATAATTAACAACAAAAAGTCTTAAGTTATACATTAATGAATTTCGCGTTCTTCAATTCATTCATAGAAATTCTGACTGCAAGTGCACAGATTTAAATATTATTTCTCAAAACAAAAGAAGGAATAGTTGTTTTTACCTAATACCTGGTGATATATGATGTAGTGTAAACATTAGGATCTATACATCTTATAGATAACATTACAGGATACAGGGTACAACTATCAGGATACTATGGTGAATCTGATGCTAACTATCTGATATGCCCTCTGGTCTTATCAACCGGCTGATTATACATGGCCTTTCTATTGTAAACATTTATTAGGAAAAAATGTACAAAACTTCAGTGAAAAGCATTATATAATAATTGAGAGTTTTAAGGGAATTCTTATTCAGAATTGAGCACTTGCCTGTTCAAGGAATATATATATATATATATATATATATATATATATATATATATATATATATATATATATATATATATATATATATATATATATATATATATATATATATATATATATATATATATATATATATATATACACACGTACATACATACATACATACATACATACATACATATACATACATATATATATACATACATATATATATACACATACATACATACATACATACATACATACATACATACATACATACATACATACATACATACATACATACATACATACATACATACATACATACATACATACATACATACATACATACATACATACATACATACATACATACATACATATATATATATATATATATATATATATATATATATATATATATATATATATATATATATATATATGTGTGTGTGTGTGTGTGTGTGTGTTCCATTGTAAGTGCAAGAATAATTTATATAACTTATATTAATATTTTTTCAGACATTTATGAGCTTGCAGTCATTACTAATACAGTGGCCTGTACTATACAACAATACAAGAGAGTCCCCATATTTTCAGAGGAATTTATCCAAGGGATCTCTTAATACTGACACAATAATAATTCTACTTATGGCGAGAGATTCTAACAGTTGGTGGATACAGACAGCTTTGCGACTAGAAATTTACTATGTAATTACAATAATTACAACATATACGAGTATACTGCAGCCTATATTAGATTAAATTCAAATAACAATTGAAAAAAAATCAAATATATAGTTACCTTTAAGAGACCTTCGACAGTGAACCATGGCCTCCTTCACTGTCAGGTGTAGTGTTAATGCTGCTGGCTGCAGGAAAATGATGAATTTGAGGTTGAGAAACATGTTGTACTTTGTGTCTTGTATAGAGTGACACATACGACCTCTAAGACATGCGAGTTTACTATGGCTCTTATTGGGAAAACATCCCTTTACACATCATAACAATGAGCCAACAGTGACTGATACAAGATCAACCTCCCAACATAAACTATGATGAAATGTTATTCAGTTGAGTCACTGGGTTTAAAGGAAGCACCTCATTACTTATGTCCATTCATTCCAACCACTGACCTGACTGTCTCACAAGGCTAAACGCAACTGGGAGGCGTTTATTCACAATACAATTCTTCTCATCCTCAATGGATGTATTATTTTTTTTTACATCATTTATCCTCATATTACACGATATAAACATCCTTCTGTACCTATACTATACTGTATATGACACTAAGTTATATGTGTGTTAGGCCCCCTTTCGCCGCTTCCTAGCTTCCACTGCGACCCAGGTCGTATGTACAGAAGCAGTAGATATATCTCAAGAGTTGTCGAATTACCACTGGCTAATCTTCGGTAATTTCTAGACGATTGGTATCAGTGTACAGACAGGTCACAGAAACACACTTGTGAACTGTAGCCTTCTTTAATAATCACTTACTCTTTACAAAACTGCTCACTATCAGTATAAAATTCATTAATCTTTTCACTTTATATCGCTCACAACAATCCCACTATACTTGAACAACAATTATCTTCAGCTGTCACTAAGCTTGTTTTTCACACTCTGAACAGAAATGATCGACTTCTCCTAAGGCAGCTCGCGGGTGTTTATAGACGTCTCGTCAGTCGCCTAGAACATTCTAGCTGCCCATCGGAACAAGATATATCTGGAGAGTTCTAGAATGATCTAGGCTTTCAATACATATGTAAATCAAAACAAAAATGATGCAATCAGAGTTAGGTTCAAGTACTTACTTGTACTTGGTACTTGGTACTTAAGTACCAATTTTCAAGTACTTGAACTTGTACTTGCAATTTCATAACAGTTGGTACTTCAACTTGTACTTGTACTTGATGAAATTTACTTGAAAAGATTCAAGTACTTCCAAGCATCTACCGATACATTTTACAAGTTACAACTTGAAGAAGTTGTGGCAACTCACTCGCATTTAAACATGTCTGATTCAGTTTGCTGCCTGATGCTGACAATGAGTATTTAGATGCCATTAAAGTCAACACAAGTGACTGAGGATTATTCAGGTCTTCCTGCTCAACATATTCCTTGCTTTGCACATATGTTGCAACTGGTTATAAAGGATGGATTAAAAAATGCCACCCAGTTGAACAGGATACTTGATAAAACAGCAAAGATTGTATCATATGTACGCAGATCTACTGTAGCCACTGAACTACTAGAAGGTGAGAACAGGGTTGAAGCTGCAAATGTCACACGGTGGAACTCTCAAGTTAAAATGGTTCGATCTGTACTTGCTCTCCCAGAAGATAAATTTTCTCTACTGAAGGAAGATGTCACTCTTCTTGGAGCCTATGAAAAGAACATGCTTCAGGACATGTTAGATATTCTTGAATATTTTGAAGAGTTCAAGAGGCTACAGACTATGCCCAGAGGCAGAACACGGTATCTGCTAGCAAGGTAGTTACTCGCGTTCGTGGCCCTAGACAACGTCTTGAACAGAGGAAATCAAAATATAACAATAACTTTGTAGCAGCATTGAAGAGTTCGCCTGGAAAGCGACTAACCCAGTACGAGGCAAGCAAACAATTTGGCGTTGCTGCTGTACCTGACCCGCACTTTAAAGCACGGTGGTGCCAGGATCATATGGAGAAAACTGACTTAACAGCTGAGTTTACTGCACAGATCACTGCAAATTGTGGAATGCTGGCTGCTCCAGTAAATGCTAGTTCTCCACCCAAAAAGAGATGTAAAATTGCCAGTTTTATGGAAGATCCTGATGCTAACTAACCTGTTGCTGATTGCTCTGCTGATCATGAGATCACGCGACCTCAACATGCCATGTGAACCAGAGGGGAGTAATCCATTGGATTTCTGGAAGAGACACGAGGGCATCTTCCCACAATTAGCCAAGCTAGCCAGAACTTACCTCACTATCCAACCATCCTCAGCATCAGTAAAGAGCTTTTAGCATTGGAGGAAAAGTATTCCGACCAGATCGTTGCCGTTTGACTGATGAAAACTTCAAAACAGTCATGTTTGTGTAGTGCAATGATCATACTTACAAATAAAATTCTACCAAGGTTTTGAAAAGTGATTAAGTCACGCTCTGTTTTAGTTCATGGGCCCAGGCAATGAAACATTGTACTTCTGTTATTTGTTTCATGGTAATCCTCATTTTATTTTTACTATGAGTCTGGCCCATTCACTTTAGTTTAGATTCTTTCCAGTTTGGCTAAATCAGCATTTATATTCTTGTGATAAAACAACAAATTTGCAATCAAATAAAGATGGGTTATATTTGTCTTTCACAAAAGTATTTGTACTTGTAGTTGACAATTGAGTACTTGGAATTACTTGATCAAATTTTCTACACCTTGTGCTCGTACTTGTACTTACCTGCTAATATACCTAAAGTACTTGCACTTACTGTACTTGAGAAAAAGTACTTAAACCCAAGCCTGATGCAATACATTCTAGTAAATTCTTAGAGAGGTAAGACATAAATATTTACAAGAAAATCTCCCAAAATTTGCCAAAATAACTGCTGCTTGGGACATAAATTAATCAGAAACACTTAGTTCACAAATACTAAAGCATAACATTTGCTTTCTGCTCTAATACTGTACAGTATTATATGAATCATCAATTAGTCCTGTACATACAGTATACAACACCTAGCAACTGTAAAGTGCAGGCTTTGAAGAAATATTGGTTAAGATTCAGCAGAGTACAGTACATTGAAGACTACAGTATACTGTAGTAATATCCCCGACAGACAAAACAATTGACGTAGAATGTTTGTGTTCGTGACATAACTAGATATTGCAATGAATCCTTTTCCGGGGAAAAATATTTTTGGAAAAATTCGTATAGATCCCAATTGGGATAAAAACGAATATTAAATATATTTAAATATATATATATATATATATATATATATATATATATATACATATATATATATATATATATATATATATATATATATATATATATATATATATATATATATATATAATTCCTGAGTGTAGATCGACCGTAAGTTCCACTGTATATGAGTGAATGAGAAAGGGACGGCGTTTATGTAATATAAACGTTAGGTCACGTCCTTACGATATAAGTTGCTGTGAGTGACTCATGAGTAGTGACCCATCGAGGGAGAATGGTATGGGTACGTCGCCCCCTCGAGGGAAGACGGAGCCATCCACTGCAGCTCTCAAATAACGTCTTCCTCTAGTCAAGGATATCAAACTACTGCTCGCTTCAGGTGGCCAGAGAGCTGACTACTTATGCCTTTACTCAGCATAGTATGACGCAGCTTCCCGTGGGCACACCTTATCACGTGCATTGAACATGTCACCTCATAGCCAGTGGAAAGTTACAGAGTGGTGAATCTGAATATAATATCAGATGTATTGACCCATTTATATAATATGTTCTCTTATGTTCTGTTGATGAGACAGGGGCCCATTACATGACCTTACTTTGCCTAACCTACCTAGCCTCACCTAACTTCCTAACCTGTGCATTGTCATTTTGATTTTCTTACTTATTATCATCCAAAAAAAAAAATCTTGAAAAAAAAAAGTGAATTAAATCAAATATAAATCATAATAAACACGCCAGATGAGATCGTCGTTCGTTTCTTGACATGTAAACAAAGACCAAGAACGCTCCAGTATAAAACACAATGTGAACTAGTGATGCCACGAAGCTTCACAACTGAAACAACCACGCAAACCCAAGCGGTTGTCACGGATGAGAAAATCACAAACGAGGGTCGAGAACTGAGAAATTATGTACAATAGCTCCAATAATAGATAAAGTGAACAATGTTTTTAGATCTTTACAGTGATAAACCTTGAGTAACTTGCTTAATTGCAGGTGACCATTTGTGACCTTTTTCACACATGAAGCGTAAAAAAGTAGTAGTATTGGACAATCAGATGAGCATAAACCTCTTGGTTTATCCCCATTAAAAAGTCATAATTTGGGGCAAAATATGGCTGTACTTAAATGTACAACTTGTAATCAAATGTAATAAGTTAATTACCAAAACATTTATGTCTCGTGCAAATTGTGGGATGTTTATACTCAAATTAATCGCTATGTTGCAAGAATTCCAGCAATGCAAGTTATATTTTGCAAAGTCAAGTCAGTGACGCTTAACAAGAGAAAAACTTAAATTCTTGGCTTGTATAATCCTGAGTCCCTGACCTGCACCACCCTCCCCCTCCACTGACAACTAATCTTCCTTCACTGGCTGTGAACACCCCACCTCCCCCACCTCCCTCCTCCCAGCCATCAGGTGAGGCAAGATGGCGGTGATTTAGTTTAGGCTTAAAGTTTTCCTCTTATAAAATGTCACAGGCTTGACTTAGTAGAATTTTACTTGCATTGCTGGAATCCTTGAATGATAGTAATTATTTTGAGTATAAACTTCTCATAGTTTGCACCGAGATAAAAATTTAGTCCTTTAACTTAGTATATTTGAGTACAAGTTGTACACTAAGGAGAGTAATATGTTGCTCAAAATTATGGCACTTTCACAGGGAAAAATCACAAGAAGATAAGTTGAAAAGTTCATACAGGTTACAACGTTAATCCACGTTTAAAGTTGAACCAAACTACTGCAACCGTGCAGTTGTGACTTCCTGACAAGCACAACCGCAACTAGGGAGCTTTGAAAACTGACAATAGTGACATCACTAATCTGAACCAAAATATGGTTGCCATGGGAGCTCTGATGGCACCATAATATTGGTAAATAATTAATTTCCTTGCCTACAAGGCACATAAAGACGTTAAATTACTGTCGGATGATTATAATATA